TGTGCTACAGATAAGCAAGCCTTAAAATAAACATTGATATAGTCCGAGTGCAGCCAGCTCAGAACACTAGGCAGTGTTCAATGACTCAGGCTAGAGATGCTTCCTCTCTAATGTTGATTCTACTATTTGTACAAAATGCACTTGACCCCACTGGCCATCAAATAAATGCTCAAGTACTCCCCTGTGTAATACTGCTGGGTCTATTTATATAATTTAATATATATTAATATGTAAATGGGCTCACTAATATGGTTAAACCTCACTAGGTCATATTGCAATCTACCCATGCCTTTTAATCTTGAGTAATTATTCTCTATGTCTTTCCATCAGTCTTCCATTGAGAATTTACCCAAATCACTAGTGACCTTCCTCTGGTTCCTTTTATATTTCATGGATTCCAAAACAACACTTGAACTATTTATCTGTTATCCTTTACTCTTGTTACATAACCAATCCATTTCACCTTCTTAAAGATGCCTTTTAAGGCATTTATTATTCACAATTTATGGCTAGTCAGTCATGGCTAGACAGTCGATAAGCATTTATTAAGCATCTAGTATGTGCCAGGAATTGCACTAAAGGCTAAGGATACAAAGAAAGGCACAAGAAAGTCCCTTTCCTCAAGGAGCTCACAGTCTAATGGGGGAGATACCATAAAATAGCTATGTGCAAAATAGTAAGATGCCTTGTCATGCTTATATCTAGTTGTATCTTACCATTGCCCTTTGGGTCACGAATCTCTTACTTGCTAAATCTCATAGACTTTTTCCAGTCCTTATGCTCTATGATCTCGATGCAGCTTTGATGCTATCAACCACTTTCCTCCTCCTAGTACTGTCTCCTCACTTGACCTTCATGACATTGTTCACTCCTATTTTCTATCTACATGCCTGTTATTTCTCAGATTCCTTTGCTGACCGCTATCCATTTCCTATTCCCTAATTCCTAGGCTAACTTTACTTTTCTCAGTGCATTCTCCCACTTGGTGATCTCATCAGTGATCGTGGGCTCAGTTATTATTTTTACCCAGTTTACTCCTAAATATTTATATTTAGCCTTAGTATTTCTCCTGAACTCCATGCTAGCATCACCAACTGACTTTTGGACATCTGTCTGGATATTCCATACGCATCTTGAATTCAACATATCTAAAACAGAATTTATTATCTTCTCCCACAAATCATACTTCCTCCAAACTTCTTTGTTTCTATTGAGATCAACACTATCTTTCCATTTTCCCACATTTACAACCTCAGAGTCACTCTACTCTTTCTTCTCCCCCACTGTGATATCAAGTCAGTCACCAAATCTTTTCAAGTCTACCTGCACAATCTTGCCATTCCTCCTGCCACTATCCAAGTTCAGACCCTTATAACCTTACCTGAACTATTGCAATGGCCTCCTAGTTAATGTTTCTGATTCCAGTCTTTCCTCTCTCCGATCCATCTGACCACTTCCTTACTAAAAAATCTTTTATGGTGCCTATTGTCTATAGGACAAAATATAAGCTCCCAGCATCCACAATCTGGATTTCTCTTCTATCCATTCCTACCCCGGGTTGTTGTGCTTCTCCTTCCTCAAGTTATCTTGTTTGTACTAATTTCTGTAGATGTTCACCCCGCAGTAGAAAGCAAGGTCCATGAAAGGCCTTCCATTTCTGTCTTTGTCTCTCCTATGCCTTGCTTTTGGTGTATGCTAAATATTCTCCAGATATGACCCCATAATCTTCAACTCAGCCTGTGCCCTCTATCTATCTATCTATCTATCTATCTATCTATCTATCTATCTATCTATACTACCTACCTACCTACCTATACATACATATAATTTTTTTCCTCCAACTACCCTAATACCATTAAAAGTCTCATGAGTTAAAAATATCATCTTTCCATGCAGGAATGTAAACAGTTCAACCTTAATAAGTCTCTTATGATTTCTCTTTCCTGTTTATCTCTTCATGTTCCACTTGAGTCTTGTATTTGAAAGTCAAATTTTCTATTCAGCTCTGGTCTTTTAATCAAGAACACTTGAAAGTCCTCTGTTTCACTGAATGGCCATTTTTTCCCCGAAGGGTTATACTCAGTTTTGCTGGGTAGGTGATTCTTGGTTGTAATCCTATCTCCTTTGCCCTCTGGAATATTATATTCCATGCCCTGTGGTCCTTTAATGTAGAAGCTGCTAAATCTTGTGTTATCCTGATTGTGTTTCCACAGTACTTGAATTGTTTCTTTCTGGCAGCTTGTAATATTTTCTCCTTGACCTGGGAACTCTGGAATTTGGCTACAATATTCCTAGGAGTTTTCCTTTGGGGATCTCTTTCAGGAGAGATGGTGGATTCTTTCAATTTCTATTTTGCCCTCTGGTTCTAAAATATCAGGGCAGTTTTCCTTGATAATTTCTTGAAAGATGATGTCTAGGCTCTTTTTTTGATCATGGCTTTCAGATAGTCCAATAATTTTTAAATTCTCTCTCCTGGATCTATTTTCCAGGTCAGTTGTTTTTCCAATGAGATATTTCACATTCTTCTATTTTTTCATTCTTTTGGATTTGTTTTACAGTGTCTTGATTTCTCATAAAGTCACTAGCCTCCAATTGCTCTATTTTAATTTTTAAGGAAGTATTTTCTTCAGTAATCTTTTGGACTTCCTTTTCCATTTGGCCAGTTTTTCTTTTTTAGGGCATTCTTCTCCTCATTGGCGTTTTGAACTTCTTTTGCCATTTGGGTTAGGCTATTTTTTAAGGTGTTATTTTCTTCAGTATTTTTTTGGGTCTCCTTTAGCAAACTGTTGACTTGTTTTTCATGATTTTCTTGCATCACTCTCATTTCTCTTCCCAGTTTTTCCTCTACTTCTCTTACTTGCTTCTCAAAATCCCTTTTGAGCTCTTCTAAGGCCTGGGACTGATTCATATTTTCCTTGGAGGCTTTGGATGTAGGAGCTCTGACTTTGTTGTCTTTTTCTGGTTGTATATTTTGATCTTCTTTGTCACCAAAGTAATATAATATAGTCTGACTCTTTTTGCACTGCTTGCTCATGATCCCGGACAATTACTTGAGTTTTAAACTCTTTGTTAAGGTAAGAGTCTGCTTCCAATGTGGAGAATGTACTGTCCCAGGCTTTGGGGGTTTATATAGCTGTTTTCAGAGATACTTGTAGGGACCTGTAAATTTTCAGTTCTTCCAAGGTGGTATGATAAGGGGCGAGGTGTTTACGCCTTTTCTGGCCTGTGCTGTGGTCTGTTAGTGACCACAAGCACTCCTTTCTGTCCTGGAACTGTGAAGCTACTACAAGCTCCACTGTGCCAGCACTCCTCCTCACCCCAGGATGGCCGCCCAGAACTGTGACCCAGATCCAAGCATGGGCAAAGCAAGAGATTCCTGCTTCAGCGCCAGCAGTGAGATCCCTGCAATCCCCCTCTGATCAGCCACTTGATTCCCCATCAGTCTGTGGGCTGGAAGCTGGGGAAGCAGCTGCCCACCTCAGGGCCTCGTTCTCAGGGAACTGGAGCTGAGACCCTGCCTTCTTCTCTCAGCACCACAGAAACAGACTTTTCCCACTGACCTTCTAAGTTGTCTTTGGCATTCGTGGATTGAGGAGTCTGGAAGCCACCACAGCTGCCAGGGATTCAGTCCTCTGAGGCCTGCTCCAGGGTCATTGAGGCTTGCCCGCCCCTGCTGCGCTGCGCTCCGCTTTCAGCCCAACGTGATAGACCTTTCTGATCAATCATCCAGGTTGTCTTGGGCTGGAAATTTGTTTCACTCCATCTTTTCATGGGTTCTGCTGCCTTAGAATTTGTTTAGAGCCATTTTTATAGGTATTTGGAGGGGTTTGGGGGAGAGCTCAAGCAAGTTGCTGCTTTCACTCCGCCATCTTGGCTTTGCCCCTGGTGTATGCTAAATAAATATCTGTTGATGAACAGGAGCTTCTCTCTGTTTCAGAAGGTTCATATCACAGCTCATCTGTAGGTCCTCATCATGATTCTTGTCTGTCCTCCCATAAATCTTCCATCCAGTATGCTGAAGGCCTTCCTTCAGATATCCATCTGTGTAGCACTTCAGCTCTCCATCTGTTACCTCTAGCTCCCAGTGTGACCAATTCAACTTCTTTTTACACTACTTATTGCACACAAGTCATCATTGGCAATTTCCTAGCATATTTATATCCACTATGGTTTTCTCCATTATTTTTGGGCCACTTGTAATATTCTTGAAAGCATGATGTTCCAGGAATCATCATAGACATGCAGCATCAAAAAAGAATATTTGTGTAACACAAAGCACTGCTCATTAATTGAGTCCCTTCATACACTTGATGAAATTATAGGTGGCTGGACCTCAAGTAGCCTATGTGCATATGAAGAGGTCAGGAAAATCTGATGAAGACTGATAGAGACAGTATATTTACCATTTGGTGTGGATTTCTTTAGTGCCTTTTCTCCATCTACTCCTTTGTGGAATAAAGAGGAGAGAAACTAAGAGTATGTATTGTAAAGGGGTGAGGGGTAAGAACTCTGTGATTCCTGGTTAAAAAAAAAAGTGGAGAAAAAAGAATCAGCTATGGAGGAAGAACTCAGCTCTTGAGTTCTCTCTTCCCCTTTTCCTTTGTTCCTCTTAGAGAGCAAAGGGGGGGGAAGCAGGGCACATTCATGGAGGTGGAGAAGGGGGACTTCTCCGTCCTTCCCCTTCCCCATCAGCAGTGGGTAATTTTCATCAAAAACATCTGGCCATAGGAGATAAGTGCCTGCACAGTGTCTGAGAGAGGAATTTAAAGACAAAATTTAACAAGAGACAGTGTGTTGTTGTTGATGTTATTATTATTGTTTTAGTGGGAAAATATGACACAAGTGTACGTGGAACAAAAAATTGATCTTTAAAGTCTACAAGTCAACAAGCATTTATTAAACACCTAATATACGTCAAGCAGTGTGCTAAGCTTTGGGTATGTTAAGAACTGGTTTTCAAATCTGTATGTCTGAAAAAATTCATCAAAATCATTTCTTACCTGGTGATGGTGACAGAATAGTGACAAGTAGATTCTCTCCATTAATGAATAGAATATGACCCTCTTCGCAGCAAACATAGAGGTCATTTGTTGAGTTCCAACAGTGTGCAATAGGATGAAGCAAGGGACGAAAATGATCTTTAGGCTTCAATAAAACATGAAAAATCATTTTTGTAAAGACTGCTAAATATATTATGGGCTTACAAACATAACTGATCCTAGAATTTTTGCACCAAGCAAAGGAGGAAGAAGTTAAGAAATGGAGGAGAGAACTCACTCTTGGTAGCAACTGAGAAAATAAACATGCATCAGATTGCTACTTCTGGAGAGGATAGGGGCAACATATATCAGGGGCCAGAAGCAAAGCCGCTGGGGGTAGGAAATCCACCCTGTAGTAAGAATACTATCACCAAGGCTGAGGCCAGGCAAAAGAGAGTGTATTTCCTACCTCCAAAGGCTGCAACTCTGGCCCTCGGCATATGCTGCTTGGGGTAAGGAAGGAAACATGTCCAGAGATAGGGCTTTCCATAACCCTTGAAATTTCAATATCCTGCAACTCTGATTAACCCACCCTAGTTATGGTTCTGTTTTCAAATACACTTCAAAATTCCTCACACACACTTTTTTCCCAATGGACCTACCCTTTTGACAATGTCACCAGCACCTCATTTAACCATCTGTACCTCTCCTGCCTTAAATTTCCTCCTGCTAAAAAAAATACAGGTTTATACTTAATAGGTATACCCAGAACCCTTGTCTGCTGACTCTTTAGTTCAAATATACTTTCAAATCTAAGAAAATTCTTAGCCTGAGGTCACCACTGTCAAATATCCAGTTCTATCTTGTCTCTCTGGTTACATGTTGTGTAGCCACATGCCCTATGTGTTATAGATTCCCTACTGAAGTTATCTGAATGCTTAATTCAATCAGAGAATTAGTCAGTTGATACTAATGGCCTTTGGCTTCTATAAATTCATAAATGACTGTATCCAGCATTATTTTTATTTCATGAAAAATTGTCAAAGGGACATGTACACTGCCTGTGACTATGTCCTTGGGAGTTGAGGAGAAACTCAGGTATCTGAACTGTTATCATTATAGCATGGGGACAGTGATAATACCCATACATTGCCTGTAGTACTGCAGCATTCAAGCATAGGAGAGAGCCATTCTCCCCTTCTCTTATATTATATTATTATATTATAGGTAATATAATATAATGGAAAGAACATTATTATCCTCTGAATTAGGATATATGAGTTCCAGTTCTGCCTCTGCTACTAGCTAGATCTTGAATAAATCATTTCCCTTTTCTAAGTCTCACCCTCTGAATCTATAAAATTAGGTTGAAAACTGTAAGTTCCTCTTTGAGTCTAACATTCTGAAAAATTAATTGTGTAATTTTATTTTCGATGCAAAAGTGAAGAATTTACTTGAGCTTTCATGTGATGCTCCATCATTATTAAGAATTTCACTAAAGGGGTTATATGACTAACAAGATGAATTATGCACCAAATGTAGAATAATTACAGCTATAACCACAGAACAAAAAAAAATGTGACAAGTTAAAAAGCCTTATGAACTATTATCATAGAACACTAATCCTTAAAGCATTCACTTAGCACCTCTCCCCCACTAGCTTTAACATTCCTGGAAATACAAACTAGCCCACAGGTTTGGGCCTGGGACCCACATTGGGATCCCCTCCTGCTGTAGAAACTGAATGGTAAACCCTACTCCTTCCTTGACCCCCACCCCAGAAAACACACAGTATGTGATACTTTTAAATACACTCATTTAAGGAAGATACTGAGTCTGCCCAATCACATGAAGGAGAAGGTGGAGGAAAGAGTTCTGCCTAGATTGGAAACATCCCTCCATGCCCACCAAGGCTAATGAGATAGCAGATATTGATTCAGCCTTAGAAGGGAAGGATGAGAGCCACGGGAGAAACAGGGGCAAAGGTCCAAGATGAGTGACTGGACCAGATCAGAAGAAAAGGGGACTGAAATGCAGCTAGGGGAAACCCTATCCTCCAAGAGGAGTCTTAGGGCAAGGATCGAAGCCAGTGAAACATAAATTCCCCACTGTGGAAGAAGGTTGGTGCAGCTTTGAATCCAGGGGGTATACACAACATAAAAGGAGGAAGTTGTCAGAAAGTGAGGCATGGGGAATATATAGAAAAAGAGCACAAACAAAAGATTTCAGGAATAAAATTCAACTAAAAATCTAGAACATAGGCATCTAAATCAATGAAGAGTTTACTAAAACTAGAATGCAAACAGAATACGAAAAACCAAGTATAGAACTCACTTAACAAATAATATAAGACAAAGGAAAATGAATCAACAACTGATAACACACAGAATCCTGTGAAATCATAAAAGAACATGGAGCAAAAACAAACTCCAGACTGATTCAAAAAAGAAATGAAATCTATACGAGGAGAAAATAGGAATTAAAAAAATCTGAATTTTTATCTCTCAAAGAAAAAATAATCAGCAGATGAGAAAAAAATGAATCCACAGTGGTGAGCATCTTCAAAAAAGTACTGGGAATACTAAGAAAAGCAATAATAATTCCTGATTTCAAGAAGTTCACAGTGAAATGGGAAATGCAAACAACTATGTAAATATATGATCTATTGGAGGTAATCTAGAAGGAAAACTCTAGCACTAAGGAGGACATGAAAGGCTTCTTGCAGGAGGTGGGACTTTAGCTGGCACTGGGAGGAAGCCAGGGAAGCCAAGAAGTAAAAGCAAAGAAGGAGAGCATTCTAAGCATGAGGGTCATCCAATGAAAAAGTACCAAGTTGTTATATAGAGTATCATGTGCAAGGAATGGCAAGTAGGCCCCATATCACTGGACTGTCAACTATGTGAGAACAAAGTATAAGCCCAGAAAGACAGAGAGAGGAGTGTGAAGCTAAACAAAGGACTTCTATATTTGATAGAGTAGATAATAAGGAACCACTAGAATTAATAAATTCCAGGAGTAGAAGGTAGGGAGGTGGGTGACATAGCCAAACTAGATCTTTAGGAAGATGATTTTGGCAACTAAGTGGAAAATGAATTGGAATACAGAGTTTGATTCAGGGAGACCAATCAGAAGCCTATTGAGATACTCCAGGTATGAGGTGATGAAGACTTACATCAGGGGGGATGTCAGGGTCATAGGAGAGTGGAGAGAGAAAAGGTGAAGGAAGGAAAGGAAGAAGAAAATAAGCTTTTACTATAAACCTACTATGTGGTAGGCACTGTGCTAAGTTTTTAAAATAATATCTCATTTTGGATTTATACAAGAGATGTTGCAAAAGTAGAATCATCAAGACTTGGCAATGGGTTAGATATCCAAAGTTGCAGGTGAGGTAGAATCTAAGATAGCATCTTTATTGTAAGCTTGAGTGACTGGGAGGATGGTAGTAAATTTGATAGTAATAAGGAAGTTAGGAAGAGGGGAGATTTGGGGGGAAAGATAATAAGTTTTGGACAAATTGGGTTTCAGATATCTGTGGAATATCCAGTTCTATATGTCCAATCTGCAGTTGGTGATGTAAGACAGGTCAGAAGAGAGGTTAGGGCTGGGTTAATTATATGAGAGAATCATCTCTGTAGAGATAATAACTGAGCTAATGAGATCACAAAGCAAAACTGTGTGGAGGAAGAGGAAAGGGCCCAGGACAAAGAAGGAGCAGTCGTTCAGGTAGGAGGAAAACCTGGATAAAGCAGTGTCACAAATACCAGGAGATAAGAGAATATCCAGAAGAAAGGAGTAGTTGACAATGTCACAGACTGTAAAAGACAAGAAGGCTGAGGATTTAGAAAAGGCTTTTAGATTTGGCGATTAAGAATTCCATTGAGTGTAGTTTCAGTTGAATGATGAGATCACAAGTCATATTTCGGAGAATTTAAGAGAATGGGAGGAAAGAAAGTGGAGGCACCAATTATAGACAACTTTCTCAAGAAGTTTAGCAATGAAAGGGAGGCAAATAATAGAATGATAATGGGCAGTCTACTGGAGAAGACAGGATGAAGTGAAGTCATGAATATATGTAGAGTGGTTTGCCTTGGTAAAGAGGACGGCAACCCCTTCATGGAAAATAGGGATGAAAGGGTATATAGTGGGAAGAGACATCTGAGAGATGTGAGATGGGAAGGGGTGAAGAGGGAGCTCTTGACAAATGACCTCAATTTTTTCAGTGAAATATAAGGTAAGGTTCTCAGCTTAAAAATGGGGTAGGGGGACTATTGGAAGTTTGCAGAGGAAAAAAATGTTTGGAAGGGCTGCTGTGATGAGTGGGAAAGTGAATCAATTAGGGATGTGTAAAAGGTTTGCTTTGATGCAGTGAGGGTACTATAGAGATTATGTAACACAAATGTGTAGTGGATCAAGTCAGCATAGTTTGATGTTTTCTTCAGCTTTATTGAGCAGTATATAAATAAGAATGAAGTCAATGGATGGTGGGAGTAATCCAAGGTTGGGCTTGGCAAGAAATTGTTGGATATAAGGTAAGGGAACAAGGGACTCAAAAGTAGAGAGTAATGTAGAACTGGTTCACTAGGGCATTAGGATGGGGAAAGTAGGAGAGTGTAGAAAAGTGCAGGGGTGATGGCCTGGGAAAGAACAGAGAGGTAGAGAGATTGGGGTCAGAATGAGTATGAGAATCAGAGTTAGGGATCATAAGGCTGAGGGAAGGATGGAATGATGAAAGATTACAATCAAATAAGGAAATTTCAGTGCTCATGAACTCTGAAGTAGAACAATTGTGGGTAAAAGATAAGGGTATGACCATCTCTATATGTAGCTGAGATGGAGGGGAAGAGTAGGTAATAAGTGATAAGAAGTTGAGGAACTAGGAAGTTAAGAGTATGTGAGGGAGTATTAATATATATGTTGAAGGCCCCTAGTATGAGGGCAGGAGTTGGTGAGGAAAGAGCATGAGCCAGGTACTGAACTCATTGAGTAGAGGAGTGTTCTACTAACTGGTAAATAACAGCTCTCAGAATCTTGATTGAAATGTGGTTTGAATTGACCTTAGAAGAGAATAGATTACTAAATGGTGGAAGAGGGAGATTTAGAAATGGCAGTTGAGGAGCAAGAAACATTCCAATATTCCTACCATGACCATGATTTGGGAGGTATTAA